CAAACAAAAATCCAAAGTTACCATCGTGTGCATTTGAAGATTAGTACTGTGTAACATGCTCCACTGTATAGTTATCCTCATAAGAATTAACATAAAGGTACCAACCCACATTTGCTGTATGTTTATTGCATACTGGGACCAATGTCATCACTGAAACCTCCATCTTATCCATTTTGAGCCTTATTTTCTGGATTCAGCACAACAACTGTGCTTTATTTCAGCATGCTGCTTACTGAGCCAAAGCCCCTTATTAAAAGTAACTGCAACATTTGAAAGCTAGGTCTGGATATTTGTGAGTATCTATTTGTGTAAAATGTACTAAAATGAAGAATAATGTAAATGCATCTTGAAGTTAGCACCAAAGGTAAGTAGCTTTACTGTATGATTGATTTCCTTCCAGGGTCAGAAGTGCTTATGATGTCACCCAAGTAAGTTCACAAGTTATGCTGTTCTTTAAATGGGAAGCAACTTTTTGTTACAATGGTTCTCTTATCTCCCAAAGAATGAAACAGCTTTTCCTTTCTAATGCTAATGAGATGCTCTCCACATCAAATGCTCCTTTGTTGACATGGTAATAAGGCTTATCTGATCAGTGGGAAGCCAAACATCTAGTGCAAACTCAGCACTTGTGAACCCCCATTTAGCTAAATTTAGTCCCATGAAAGTAGAAGGGCATCCTCTGAAAAGCATACATCCTGTAGGCAAAAAGCCTGTGGGCTTTCTCCAGAAAGTTAAATACCTTCTAACCAGGGTCTTTGTAACTCCAGATGAAAGGCAATGTATTAAGGTAGTGAAATAAGCTTTCAGCTGCAGTGGCCACAAAAGGTCTCATATGCAGCTGTGTTTGAATATACTTGTAATCCTGTTAGTTTATTGCTAGTGGCCCCATAAACACCAGTAATTAGAACTGGTGATGAGAGAACAGCAGTGGTGGTTTGTTTATTTTTTTATTGTTTTGCATTGTGTCTTTAGAGGAATAAATTAGAGGACTGGATAATCTTGAGAGAAGTATGGTTTGGAGAAGGTTCTCACACAAAGAAGCAGACCTGGCAGCATGGGAGGAGACAAAGAGTATATGGGGTTGGGGTTGGCAAGGTGATTATTTCAGGTTACTGTGAAATAGCAGGAACAACAGCATTTCTGTAACTCTCTAGAATGCCTCTCAAAATAAGCAATAAAAATAACTTAGTAAAACAGTCAACCCTGTCTACTGGAAACACTAAAGCGCTGTATTACAGGTCAGTTTGTCAGACTTTACGTGTGTAAATTATATTCTGACATCAAGCCCCCATGTGGCTCTCCATGAAGATCAAAGGTAGGGCAGGTGCACTGATGGGAGGGTGGGGACGACACCTGTTTTCCACTTAAAACCCTTTGGCCAGAAATCTATTAGTAGCTGCACTGAAGCAGTGCGTAAATGTTCATTTACTGTTCAGCAGTTGATTCAGTGGATCTACTCTAGTTGGAACTCACAATAGGATTTAGGCCATTACTGTATAGCAAATTCCACAGTGCATAATCACTGTGGGGTTTTTTAAACTTAAAATTTATCCTCTTTGGCCGTACTCTGCTTCTTTTGCCCCACCTTCTCTTTAGCTCCACCCCCTTAGGCAACTGGCGGTTTTGAAAAATGACCCATGGTTCCACTGAGGTTCCCCATCCCTGCACACAAACTGATGTTGTAGCTATTATGGGTTACAAAGTGTGAACTGCAAACCTATGAGGCAACTTTTTAAATTTCAGGCTCTCCTCAGCTTTTCAGGCTGTGAGGCCAATTTTAACCTCAACCACAACATGGAACTCATTTAATTATCTGCCCTTATGTAGGATATTTAGCTATCTATCCAGCTAACTATTTAGGTTACTAGCTAGTATGTTATATATAACTCATTGGTTGGTCCACTTGCATCTGGTCTGGTGGTGTTATAATGCATAACTGTTCTTAGCATTAACCATGCCGATGAAGATTCCAGGTTTACCATGAAAACAGGTTTGTTTCTCAACCTGACCTCTATCCTAGAGCAGTGGTTCCCCAACCTTGGGCTTCCAGATGTAATGAAGATTCCAGGTTTACCACGAAAATGGATTTGTTCCTCAACCTGACCTCTATCCTAGAGGTAAGGATAGCACAGATTCTGTTCAACTCACCTTAAACCATCTTGTTTTGCAACCTCTCCATAAACGTTGTTAAATATTTAGAATAATACTTAAAAGCTGAGCCAGCATAGTGTGTAGTGGATAGATGGTTGCCTTGGGACTCAGGAGATCTGGGTTCAAATCCCTATTCTACCACAGAAATTCACTGGAGGGTATGCCATCAGTAAAATCACCCATTAAATATCTCAGATACCTACTAGATTTTTCCATAAGTTGGAGTTGACTTAACAGCATGTACAGTACTACAACTGCCGTTCTCTCTGTTTTTTTCCAGGTATTTATGTGTTGTTGGAAACCCTAAAAGAGTTACCATAAGTTGGAGTCGATTTGACAGCATGTAACACATCTGTTATTTATTTATTTTTATTATTTCTTTCTTTGACTTCTGTACTGCCCATCTGGCTGTCAAGGCCACTCTGGGTGGTTTACAGTGTTATAATATAATAAACATTTATGTATTTTTATTATTTCTTTATTTGACTTGTATACTGCCCATCTGGCTCTCAAGGCCACTCTGGGTGGTTTACAGTGTTATAATATAATAAACAGCAATTTAAAAACAGTAAACATAACAGCTATAAAAATAAACACATACACAAAACAACATAAAATTAACTAAAAATAATTTAAGGTACAGTACTTTAAATCTCAAGGCCACTCTGGGTGGTTTACAATGTTATAATATAATAAACAGAAATTTAAAAACAGTAAACATAACGGCTATAAAAATAAACATATACACAAAACAACATAAAATTAACTAAAAATAATTTAAGGTATAGTACTTTAAAGGCAAGGTGGCAGAACTGATGATATAAATGCTGAAACAACCCTGTGTTACATTGTTATAAGGTCCAGGAAGGCCTGTCTGAAAAAACATGTTTTCACTGATCGCTTAAAAATTAACAACATAGTAACATAATAGACAACAATGTAAAAACACTAAGCATAATCACTGTACAAAAATGAAAAGTAAACATCAGTACACATACACAAAAGCAACATAAAATAAATTAAAAGTAACTTAAAAGTAATTTAGAAGGAAAGGTGGCGGAACTGATCATATGAACGCTGAGACAACCACTTTGCAATGACAGTGTCTTTGCCATACCAGATGAGCTTAAGAATTACTTGTAAATCTTACAGCCTTATAGAGACTGTGGAGTTTCTGAACAAGCAGGAAAGTTGGAAGAAATGAAATTCTTTTTCGATTAGCTACAGTGAAAATTACAAAGCTTTTGTAGCTTGATAACAAGTCTCGAGCCTAAAGTCTGCCCATCAGATGTCCATTGGAGGGTTACTAATAGTTCAGAACAATTATAAATGTGTTTACCATGAAGTACAATCATCTGATTATCTTGGAAATCACAATGGTAAATGCATATGACCCGTGGGCAGCAGGGACCCTGTACCCCATTTTTTAAAACATCTGTAATGTTTTGAAAAATAATGACTAGCGGATACTAAGCGGGGATTTTCTGTAATAAAATCTGCATTTTTAAATGAGAACCATTTTGAGGGGCAATGGAGGGGCAAGACCCACATGTGAGTGTGGCCACCCAAGAGCTAGGGTCCTTTCAGGTAGCCCCTGAAATTCTGGAGATTTCCTAGCCTGGTGAAGTGCATTGTATTCCTAGGCTAGCCAGTCCCCCTCATAGGATAGATGCATTTGTATCCTAATATCCTGATTAATATTGTAAAACCGATTTATTATTACTTCAATAATCTTCCAAAGAATGCTGGAATTGCCTAACGATTCTTTATTAGGAACAGAGTCTCATGGCACAGTTAAATTGAAGTACTGCAGTGAAGACTCTGCTAACATGTATTCTCGAAGGCTTTCACGGCTGGGATCTGATGGTTGTTGTAGGTTTTTCGTGCTGTTTGGCCATGTTCTGGAAGTTTTTCTTCCTAATGTTTTGCCAGTCTCTGTGGCTGGCATCTAGCTCCTGTCCTCTGAAGATGCCGGTCACAGAGATTGGCGAAACCCTAACCACATCCTATTGTCTCTGCTAATATTCAGTGTATTGGAAATCCCACTGAGTCATGATTTTCATCTCACACTTTGTAATTTTTCTTTACAATGTATTTTTCCTCACTACTTGGCAAGATAATGCAGACCAAGATAGTAGCTTGGTTTGAGATGAGGTGGAATTTGCCCTGGGATATTTTCATAATCTGTGTCTCCATACAGACGAACTACTCCTGAGATAGCTAGGTGGTCTCTATGTTCCTGCCAAGTTTTTTATCACTCATCAGGTGTAGATCTATGCCAAAATGCAGGTTAACAAATGTGATAAAATGCTACTCTTTTCTATGCTATTCATGTTCAGCTCTCAGAGTTCTCAAGACACAGGGCAAAAAGGATAACAATCTACATCTCATCGTACCTTTAAACAAAATGCCTCCTTTACTAGAATGGAGCAGCTTGTATTTTCTATTAAAAATATCATGATGGGGGAAAGCATTCAGTAGCCAAAAATCACTATCATACTCCCAACTGCTGGGAAGGAGACCACTGCCAGCGATCAAGCAGTGATTTTTGTCTGTCTTCTAGTTTGGCCTTGCAAGCATCCTGTCTCTTGCAAATGATCATTATTTGGAAATAGGCCTTGAAGGTGGTTGTGCAAATTGTGTCTGAATCTGACTTAAAGCAAGTGCAACAAGCTGAACATGTTCATGCACATCACATGTTAGTTACAGGATAATAGAAATTAACAAAGTCTCCCTGACATCTGTGTTTTGACTGGCTATTCATGCTGTTTTCTCAGCATGAATAGCATTGACTTTTTTCTTAAATCAGATGAAATTATGGTGCTCATTCGTGTGCTTCTCCCTTACAGAGACCAGAATGCTGTGGACCCAGCTATGGAGTACGTAAAGGTATGAAACATCAATTCATTGCTCCCAGACCCCCGTGAAAAGGCTATACATCACTTTCTTCATAGTAAATAACCAATAATTCCCATAATTTATCTTTTCTCTGGTTCATTATCCCATACAATATTACTGTGGTTTGACTCTTCATAAAGAGAAGAATAGCTAATTAAATTGCTTGAATCAAGCCAATAGAAAACAAGGTCAGTTTACGACCTTGGTAATTATCACTGTCACTAAGGGCTTTTTCCATTTTCTTCTTGTTATATTCTAACATTCAAGCTGTAGTAGCAGAGTTGGAACGAAGTATCATGATGTTTACTGTCCTTCCTCATAATAAACTGCAAGAGCTTTGAGTGTAATCTCCAAAACTTTAACTGATAGAAGAAGGAACATCTAGGAAAGCTAGTGGGACCAAGCAGATAGCAAAAGCATACCTCTTGTGGACACGGGTTTTTGCTATCTGGAAAGATTAAGAACAGTATTTTTGAAAAACCCAGGCAGTGCAAAATTGTCTTATAGCTGTGCAACGTCCAGTCATTAAAAACACCAGATTCTAAAGTTATGTGAGGATATTGTTGTACCAACAGCAGAATATGTATCTCTGCATTTTTAGCTACCTTTTCAGTGCATATCTTCAGAAGACTGTACTGTACATTAATGATGTTTTTACCTTATTAGTTGACCTAATTTCAAGTGCAATTCACACAGGCCATAAAGTTGGCCATCTATTCACATTTCCTGATACCCAGGGCCTGGTTTCCAAACACTAGCTGACATGTTACCACATCAGTTTTGGAAGATGCTTAAAGGTTTCTGGTGCTGGATATGCATTTAAGTGGGTCGGTTTTTCTTCCTGAAACTGAAATATATGGCCAGGGAGTCAGCTGGTGTGTCTTCAGCTGCCTTATACCATTCCAGTCTACAGTTTAAATTGTCCCTCCTATTTGGGAGAAAAGTCCCTCACAGATTAGAAGGGAATGTGTTTGAAAATCTTTTCTTCATGTTATATTAGTTTTCTATACACAAGAAGAATCAATTTCTTAAAAAAACATTAAAGAGGTGGATTTGAACATCAGCCCATTTCTGGCTGGGAGACAGAATGGAACAGTCCAGAAAAAAACTGCAGTGTAATTCTCTTGATTTGTATTCTTTAGCAACATTTTTCTTGTGACTTCATTTAAAGAAGACAGTAAAAAAGGATGCTGGTAAATCCTAGCTGACAATGGCCAAAATCATATTGCTTTGAATAGTAAATCGCACTAGAGTAGGCCTATAGAATGGGCTTCAATGGGGATTTAATGAGTCAACTTCTCCATAAATTTCATTGATTCAAATGAGCTTACTCTAACCGACTTATATTAAATTGCAGTTAGAGTAGGTCAATTTGAATAAATGGAATTCATGGAGAAATTTACTCATCAAATTCCCATTGATTCAATGCGTACACTGATGGAAGAAGCTAAGCAGGAAATATTGGGTTCTGTGCACCACCAGCATGTGGTTAATGCAGAGGAAATCATGCTTCAGCAGAATCTTGGTTTATCATTTTGTGTGAACATGACCATTGTTTCACTCATTGTTTCAGAACTTTGAACCAGTCATTAATAAAACAAGAAAGATATTTCATTATTTTATTGAAATGACTTTCTGCTCCTGTAAATGTGAGACATAGAGTTGAATAATAACCCTGCAAAATCCCATCGTTTGAGCAATGGCTAGTTATGCCTCTACAACTTCTTCTGTTTTCATTTTAGACTTCTATAATTGGTGTCTTAAGACACAAAGTCTGCTTGTTTTTCTTGAGCTCAAGAGAGTTAAATCTCACCTCTTCATTTAAGATAATCTGTGCCACATGTCTGTTCAAAAAGGAAATGGTCATGATAAGCAGGAAGCCATAAAAATAACCTTTAAGCTGCAATTCTGTGCATATTTACTTGGGAATAATCACCTTTTCAGATTCGTAGCCCTTCCAAGAAATTATGAATGGATCACGTCATTAGATGACAAACATACGTACTTGAGGATAGGTTCCACTGCATCTTTTGTGCACAAAAAAGATTACATTTGAAGGATATTGGAGCATGTGGTTAAAATGATCTCAAACACACTAAGATGTTTTCCAGAGTTTCCTGTGGAAAGAACTGTACCTGTAATGAATATCTCAGCTAGACAGCAGGGCTTGAGAGGATGTGCAAGGGGGTTATAAATAAGAGCAATCAATGGATTGCTCAGATGTCTGGTTAAACTAATTTGTTTGAGGCTGTTGGTCAGAGGTTCTTAGACTTTGACCTAGTAGGATAAACTCAAATTAGGAAAGTCAGTTACTAAAGCAGTCACAGGTGTATCTTGTGGGATGCTGGTGTGAGAGTTTCTCCAAGTTTGGGCCAATCTGGTGGGAGTGCTTTCCTGCAAAATATGCCTGTCATCAGTGGAATGATATACCTTGGGCAGGTAAACCATGCACGGACTGTTGTGCATGAATATTGCAGCTGCAAGAATAGTAGTATAAAAATACAGTGTTGAATACAGTGTTGAACATCAGCATTTTGGATTTGCTTTATGTATTGTTTCCTAAAGTGTTCTCATCTCTTAAGGCAACACTTGTCTTGGAGGTTTGAGTTCCATGGTTTGATGGCCACCAGAACAGGATTTCCCATTGCTGTAGTGTAGGCCTAACAAAAAAAAAAAAAAAAAAAAAAAAAAAAGATAACTAGAAGAAGCAGAGTAAATAATGTAAATTTTGAAATAAATGCAAATTTACAAGGGAGTGGCTTTCTAAGAGGGTAGGGGAGAGGCCCATCTTTGTATCCTGGCTATTAAGGTAGAAGCTTAGCTGATGATGACAACAGTTTTTTCAGAACTTTGAAACTGGAATTCTGTGGAAAACTGTGGAATTCTTTGCTGTGAGAAAGCCCCTTTCTTCCTTTCTATGCATGTGTGTTTTATGGGTTTAAAAAATTAGAGGCTTTTAAAACCTGGTATTATTTTCCATTTCTCTTTTCCTCTGTTAGAAATGTCTCTGTACCATTATGTCCTTCTTTTGTTGAATGCTGCTGTATTTTATTATACAGGATTTAATTACTATCAGCCACCCTGAGTGGTCCAAAATGGTAGGAAAAAATAAATCTTTGTGTGTGGGGGTGAAGAAGATAGAGAGGGAAAGGAGGGAAATCTTAAGCAGTTTGCAGTGTTCTCATTTCTTTAAAAAATGATTCAGTTATTACAAGGGGGGGGGAGATAAGCACTGGTTTCCAAAGCTTACATTATCCATTATCCAGTATTATTTTGATTTCTAATCATGGTGAAGATCTTTGTACTATAGGGCAGTGGTCGATCAGCTACAGGCACTCCTGGAGGACATCGATGCCCTTGATCCCTTCCAGTCTGTATTCAATCCACATCATGACACAGAGACGGGATTGATTGCCCTACAAGATGAGCTTTTGAGGGAGGTGCATGATCGCACTTTGCAAAGGTGTTATTACCCTCACAAGTGGGGAGAATAATCTTACTGTCACTACCACCCTTTTCCTAGGTTGCTTATTAGTTGCTGAATAGATCAGTGGTTTAGATATCTTGGTGCAAAGCCAAAGGTTGGGGGTTCTCCACTGTGCCTCCTGTGAGTGGAGCCAGCCTGTGTGGCCTTGGGAAAGCTGCTCAGTCCCAGAGTATCCCCAGAAGAAGGGAATGGTAAACTACTTCTGAGCCCTGTCTACCTGTAAGAGCCTGAAAAGGGTTGCCATAAGTCAGAACTTAATGGCACACAA